GTTTAGTTTGACGATGTGTTTTTGATCAATCAGCTTGTTAAGTTATTTCTCAACTCTTTCTTGCAAATGTTTTGGGATTCGGCGTCCTTTTTTTGAAAAGGAATTGCGTCTATTTTGATTGTTGTCTGCACTACGTGGTTTTGGTTTTTCGATTCGTCTACACAAACAAGACGTGTTTTTCGAAATCAAATCACTGTTTAACTTCGGGGTTTGGTTTTTCCGGTTCTTGTATACTTAGCATCTGATATTGTTTTGGTTTTTTTTCTTGTGGTAACCTTATTCCGGTTTGTGGAAGTAGACTCCTACCTATTATATTTGCTTTTCGGCCATCATTATAATGATTGGTGCTGAATGTATTGTTCAGCCCCGGATTCAAGCCCAATGATGAATGTTTTTTTTAGGATTGATAAATTGGCCGTTTTAACATGCCAGGTTTCTTGCCGCATCTTCCGGTGGCATATATTTGAATATCACTTTGTCTTTTGTTCGGAGTGCTGTTTTGTCGTTGAGAAATGACATTGGGCTTTCCGAGTCTGCTATGGTAAAAATGGCTTCCGTATTTGTTTTTAATTTAACAACGTGTCCGTTGAATTCATCATTAGTCAAGTCAACTAAAATTTTTAACTCGAACTTCTCAGATATTGCCATTACTGGAAAATTAACCTATCGGAACTCTCCCATCCAATTGTGGACGTAATTTCCACGAACGCAACAGGATCGTTTTCTGTCAATTCATTAGTTTTTCCACTTCATCTCGCGGTTCTTCATTCCTACCTTCAAGATAGTTAACGTCTGTAGATTGTCATACCTTCGCAAAATGTCGCCGTTTTGCGCGTTTTGAACAATTTTTGTCTTTCGCTGGGCATTATTGGAAGTGGTTTGGGCTGAATCGTCTGCCGCATTTATAAATTGCTTTTGCTGTGTATTATACAGGTGTTTGTGACCTCTCGGATTTCGCGTTCCGCGTGTGCCATTTGGTCGACTGCGATATCCTCAACGGCTTCCTTGTGTGTATTGTTGGTTTGCGTAATTACCTCTTTGTCACGAAATAATATAACTCACCCTTTCTTGTTTAGTTGTTGTTGTTCCCCCGAACAGATTTGTTTTCATGTACAGTCATGAGTTGTCTTATTGTTGTATTATGTAGTTCAAGTTCGGTCTTTTTTATTGTACTTGACGTTGGTCTTCGATGCCGAGACATAGAAATGGAAAGCGTACGCCTTTTTCTCTTGCTTTCTGGACTCTGTTTTCCCAACCAACTCGCTTCTCGCGCTTTCTTACATCTCAGTTTTTCCTTTGAGCTTCCGTTTCGCCGGGTATTTCTTGTTCGTATATGGGTTGTGCGGGTTCTACTAATGGAGGTTTAACTCTTAGTAGGTTTCTGACCTCTATTCCATCTTTTGCTAAGGCCATCATATCGTGTATCGCTGCCCATTTAGACCACTCTAATGGTAATTTGACCGACTTTTTTTTACCAGAATGGGTTGATATATAACGAATTCTTCGAAAAACCTGATGGCTGCGCCATGTCATACCTTAACGTATGATAATGTCTGATATCGAATCCGAACGGATTGATAAACAAAAAACTGTCAGCGAACAAATTAAGACAAATAGTTTATGAAACTATCTATTTTCGTCTAAGCTTAAGCTTGGTCTCTTCGCTCTCATAAGTTTTACAAGGTCAGCCGCCGACCAACAGAAAGGTTACTCAACGTAGTGAGTGTACATAAATAATTAACATTTATCAATCCGTTGCCGGATGACAGTCAATTTCAAAAAGCCTGACTCAAAATTTTATCCAGAATAAGTCTTGATAATTTCCATTCTTCGTTGATCAAACTTGAATTCAACTGTTTGAGCACGGGTAGCTTAACACCAATTTTATCTAAAATACCACACTGGCAAAATTTATCAGATAAGAAGAATCCATGCAAACGCAAATCAAACAAGACTGCTTGTATCAGGTCGAAGCCCTGAATGTTCCGACTGCCTTTTAAGGTCTATTGAGCAGTAATATTTTGAAACAATAACTGTAATAAAATCAAATTGATTTTTTTTTAAAAAAAGATGAGATTTTTGTGAAGTTCATCAACCCACACGCCATATAAAGAAGTACAAAGTGATAAATTTCGCTTGCATTTATAAATTAATTCGGCAAATAAGCTTCCTTCAATTAATTTGGAACGATTTTTAGGACGGATTAAATCTACGCTTACGGTTGAATAGCGCGAAATATATCGCGCAGTAGTTGTCCCAAATATGGCAAAATGGCAATCATTAAACCCCCATAACTTTGCAAAAAATTGATCACAGGTGAAATTTTCTTTCTAATTTAAGCGCAGGAGAAGAATACCTTTTGAAAGATGCCAAAAAAATCCGTCAAAAGTCGAAATTTGTCCGAAGAAAAAAAAAACCCACCCCGAGCACAAATATTCCGTTACTTTCGTTACGAAAGTCGGAAAACTAACTCAACTTTGTAGTCAACTACATGACCCAGAACATGTTCGATTGTAATCACTTGTTTTTACTATTACCGGGGAAAAAATTAGAAATAGTTGGAATATTACTTCTACTGCAACATCAAGTTTTGAGTCTGTTGATAAGCTTCATCAAATCCTTGCAACTGCTCGTGGTATACAGTTCGAGAAAACAACTCAAACAACTAAAAACATGACAAAGCTTAGTATCAATGAAAGCAGAGAGCAAATAAACTGTTAGTTTACGAGGAACTCCAGAGCGCCATTTTCCCGGTTACAAAAAATGACTAACCACACGGACGAAGCATTGGACAACCAAGATGGTTAAATTACCTTATTTGCAATTCATGGGTGGAAACAATGTTCGTACTTTAAATCGTTTAAGACGCATTCAACCAACTACCATTTTTCCACATGCTGCTTATGAGTCTGAGCCTCGTCACTGAATGTATTCGAAATGCTTTTAGCAAAGATAGGTTATTCTGTGTCAAAAACTTGCCGGGAAAATGATTAAACGTCTTTATGAGTAATCTGCGAATTGATGATCCCAAAAAATCCATTTCCATCCAAACCCTTGAATTTGAATTGCGAAGTCGGCTTTGATCTGCCAGCACTGCAGTTCGATTTGACACAAAAATGCATTAATTGTACTCATTGTCCTTAAAATTGACTTCATGGGTCCTTTTTGTGTTGCTGAAGAGGAAACCATAGACTTGATTTTTCTTCGTTTTACTTGTTCTAAAAAGCGGACAACCCAATTGCAAACTACTGATAACTTTCAACCGTTTTTTAAACAAAAAATTGTAGTTTAATGATCGACGTGGATCTTCGAAGGTAGTTTTTTTGGTTTTTGCAAAGTAATTTGAAGCCGGATGCTAGTAAACTATGACAGAGCCTTTAGTTTTCGACAAAACCATAAAAAGCAACCAAGCGTCCGCTTAGCTCAAATAAAATACGGTTGGCTTCACCGTCCGTCTGCTGTTGATTCTGATGTGGTGCCAGAAGTTTTCTACTCCAGAAGCAAACTAGTCTTTCTGCTGACCCTACGATTTGACAGACTTTCAAGATATCTGTTTTAATTTTTAGTAATCAAATGCGAAAGCCCAATAATTTCAAGATCACTGTTAGATTCCACATTGATGATCAGTTACTACCTAAACCGAGCAGTTTTTCAAAACCTTTTGATTTGTCACTCCTTGAAGCTCACGTAGCTACATTCTGCGACAATCAAACAACAACAGTTCAAGCAAAAAATCATGGAAGCTAACTAAATATAAATGAGACAGTTTTGGAAGCGAACATTCAAAAATTATACTTGGACCACAATCAAAAACAGGGGCGGATCTAGAATTCTCTCGAGGGGTGGGGCGTATTTTTAGGTCGTATTTTATGTGTGGGGAATATTTTATTATAACGTATTTTTAGGTCGACCAAATTAATTTTCCGAGCGTTTCCAGAAGACTATTTTGACCAAAATTTAGCGAAGCAGGCAAAGTTTTGAAAAACAGGCCAAACAATTTTAAAGACTTGTTTTGGAAAGTTTTGACCTTAAAATCGCGTTTACTCGGCGCGCGCTTAATAAACTAGTAAATATTCGAGAAAATTTTTAGGGTCCGTGGATATCTCCATTTATTACAAAGAGGGGACCTTTTGGGTCGTTAGTGGGTCGAATCTCTGAAAAAGGGCGTCGGCACCCCCTTAATCCGCTTGTGATCAAAACCAAATGGAATCAAAAACAGAAACAAAAAGAGAAAAATCACCTGATGGGGATCTTGTAAGAACCCTTTTTTCCACGAGGCAAGTGGTGCTTGGGCAACGTCGTTGGAGTGTTTAACGGTATACATGACACCAGGCGCTCATGCGCAATTTAAACGTTACGATTTAAATTGCGCAATTTATTGCGTTACGATCACTCTAATTTAATGGTGAAACGTGCCTTAGTCAATTCAAAAATTTTTTTCCAGAACTTACTTCTAGAACCAAATCCAACCATTAACTGTTGCTACCAACTAATTGCTCTCTTCGAGGTTATTTCTTATATAAATTGTTGTTCATAGCGCTGAGGACTTGGCGATTAACTCTTTCGATATTTAATAGATTTTTGCTGAACTTGTTCACAATTGGTCACAACAAAATTATTGTCTTCTGGAACCAAAGAACTTCAATTTAAGGCTAAATGAAAAATGTATCTTAAATACAGTTAGCAATATGGTTAATTGTTTCCTTAAAACAAAAGATTAAAAAAATGAAGTAGAAAAATTTCACCGGGTCAAAAAAATGAAATAAAGAAATCTTGAAATTATTGTTCTAGCTCAGAAAAATTAGTTCTATAAATCTGAAATTTTGGAATTGATGTTATTATAACGTAAATGTAATTATACTGGTAGTTCCCTGACCTTTCGGTTTACTGAACGCAGTCCAATAAAAACATGATAATCATGCAAGTTATACCGTTTTTTCATCACACGAAATACTTAATACTTAAGTTTAGTTCATTTAAAGAAAACCATAAAACTTGCATGTGAACACAATTTTTTTAGCCATGAAAACTACTCAACTTTACAAAATTGTCGTTTTTAAAGTCACGGAGATTTGAATCAGTTCGAATTTTTCTTAATAGCTGCCGTAAGTTCTCGCTGTGATTCCATCTCAATAATTAGAACGCAGAATTTCTCTGAAGAGACTGGAATCAGACCAATTTGCAAAACTATTAGCTGTGAAGTTTTTTTTAGGAAATTTAAAATCTTGAACTTGAGCCATATACGTTTCGCCCATTTGGTGTTTGGCTAAAGCATTTTCTGGCGGCGCAGCTCTTCCAGCAAAACCGGCATTTTCTTGAATACGAATTCTTTAGATATATGGATGCCGTCTTTGAAAACTGGAACCCCTTCAAACAATCCTGAAATTATAGTTGGCCTAGAAAAGTTGCCAATGAAAAGTTGACCCATGTCAATATAAAGTAGCTTTTCATACGTTTTCTGAAGTTCTTTGAGATAATCTCGAAACCAAGATACACCTGGTTCCTCGTTGACTGTAATTGGGCAGGCGTTTGTCAAGTTGGAGAGATCCTGTTTCTGGTTCTGAAGCCTCTTGATACATTCTGTGGGGTTGCCGTTTGGTCTTTGATGCATGATCATAATAACAGGAGTCGTGTATTGGCTCACTCGTTCAATGAAGTCAGGAAATGCTTTTTGAATCATTTCTTTCCAGCCGTCCAGATTTTTCATGCCATTTACAACCGGACTGTCTTTTGTTAACTGGATATCTGAATTATGAAGACACCTCGAAAAGTAAAGAGAAATATCGGTTTTGTTTTCCTTTAAGTACTCCAACGCCGGATTGGCAATAAAGTTGGGATCTTTTTTTAAGGCTTCTTTGTATTCCGGTTTACCCGCCGCTACTTTCCACATATAGACTGGAAAATAAGGTGCACCTGGTTTCCAAAACGCACCATAGTTAGCTTTTATATTACAAGCATCGTGAAGCTCTAGGAACACCTCTTTCCAGTGGGCTGCGTATGAATCGCCAACGATAAGTAAACTTCTATCTACTGGTAGTAACTCACAATATTTAGCCAGAGCTGGATCAATTCCGCTTAAGTTTCGGAAAGTTGAAGTATCCGATAAATTTCTAGTAATATCAATCAAATCAAGTTTATTAGGAAACTTGTAATTGTAACTGACCGATCTATCGTTCGGGTCTGAGAGTATCTGGATAAGAATGATAGGTTGAATAATGGTTAAAAAAAGGAAAATAGCTAAAGTCCTCCTAGATTGCAATTTAGAACACTCCTTTTTAAATGGGTCTTCGATTAATTTTTTCATCATAGCTGCAAGTGAAACTGTTAGAAGAAATATGGCGACAGGGCGAAAAGGTCCTTCTGTAGGTAGTACTGCATTTATATCGCCCAGCTTCGTCAAAGGCAAGTGGATAAGGTACATACCGTAAGAAAGCTTTCCGAGAAAACAAAGGCTTGGGTTCAGATAAAGAGACCTCTTGATCAAATTATCGTCATCCGAGATTTCTAGCAGTATGATTAATAAAAAGGTCAACAAGGCAGAGCCTGTTCCAAGTATTAGAGGAGATAGTTTTGCAACCGTCGCTAGATATGCTGAACAAGCGAGAACAGCCAGTGATAAAACATCTGCCAGTGATTTTAAAACAGGACTCTGCATTTTGGCAGCAATGATTGAGGACTTATTGGCGTTGGTAATTAGCAACAAAAGTGATATAACAGAACCCAAGCTGAATTGATATAGTCGACCCCAGGTGGAAAAGTAAGAAATCATTGGTGATTGAGAAGCTAAATAAACATTCTCTGCGGTAAAAATTACCGCGCAAAATAGAAAAAATGAAAGCATAACTGTCGTTTTTCTTCTGAACACGAAAAAAGTAGCCGATAGAAAAAGAGGGAAGACCGCGTAGAATTGTTCCTCGATCGAAAGAGACCAGAAATGAATGACTGGACTCTGATCGGAGCCTTCGTCTGTGAAATAGTCCAGCGCTATGCTCAAACCGTGCCAATTTTGGAAGTACAATGCCGACGCTACGAACGACTGTTTGTGCATTCTCACATATTGGGGCATCTCTGTGTATCGGAACAAAACAGCGGTTATGCCGAGAACAGTTGCCGAAGCTGGAAAAAGCCGAACAAAACGTCGGCAATAGAATCGACGGAAGTTCAGGCGATCCGATTCCAGAAGTTCCCGTAGCAGAATTGAGGTGATGAGGAATCCAGACAACACAAAAAACATGTCCACCCCAATCCACCCGTTGACCATAAAGGGTACTTTGCAATGAAAGAGGACAACGGCTACACAGGCAAGTCCACGAATGGCGTCCAGGTGTTTTCTGTAGGCTAGTTTGCTGGACTTTGATTGGTACTGGTCCTTCATGATGAAACAGGTAACTTATTTGATGTTTTTTTCTAAATTGTTTTATCTAGTTGAGAGATGGTAAAAATCAGTGCGCGACAGTTTGCTTCAGCGTAAATCTGTATATCTATGCATCTGGATTCGAAAACGCACGTTCTTGATCAACAGTTTTCTTCTTTTGTTATAGACAGAAAATCTATACTAAACAATAAACATTGACAGAAAAACTAAAACGACAGAACATTCTGAAAAACAAATATATGAGTTCAATTTTTCATCATAGTACTTCGAAGTAATAACCAAACTGAAAAGGAAACCAATTTATCCCTATTTTGTGTCGAGAAGGTTGTGAATCAGCCCAAATTTCGAAAACATTGGAAGGAAATGCGATCCCATTTTTAGATTGTTGGGCCGAATGAGCCGCTACACTTTTTCTAAATTGCATCTTCATTGCTCGTTTTTAGTTGCAAGTAAAATTTTCACCAATTTTATTCCTAATTGCATCTTACACTGAATTGTAGGTCCTAATTCTGAAATATAAATTTAACGCCACATCATTTTGGCGAAAATCTCAGCGATGAAGGCTCCCATCAAGTTTTTATAGAATAACGCCAATTTAAGAAAAAATTTTCCAGATTCTTAAAATACAACATGTTTTTACTATCAGAAAAATAACATCTGCAGCGCATACAATTTTGCTGCTTCGACTTTTTGTTCGATAATTTCAATAAACTTTTTTTTAGTCTGTTAAACTTAGATATTGAAAAAATGTTTTGAAATGTTGATTCCGGTCATAAGGATGAACAAGACTGCCAGGTCCAGACGTTTTGACAGTTTTGGAGACCAACAATAGCTAGTAATCTTCAAAAAGTTTTGCGCTGTTTTAAAGAATTTAAGTCGTCTGAAACCGTAATTAAACTCTAAGAAATCTGTATGATGGCTGCTAAATCTCAACATGTGAAATTGATTTTTATTAAATCTTGGAAAAATTATCAAGAGGCTTTTGGAACCAGATCTAAACTAAAATTTGTTATTGCTTATTGATATGATATTTTATTTCTATTAAATATTAAATACTAACCAATCATAATCCATCAACTAACAACCCACTTATTTGTAAGAGCTGAAACTACTTGTAGTTTCAGCACCAGAGCAATTTGAATTAAACTTAGAATACAGTTGCCTTCCTCAGAGAGATGGACTCGCATAAACCAGTATACTCTAGATCTATTGAGACTAGGAGATATAAGAGTAAG